TGTGTGTGTGTGTGTGTGTGTGTGTGTGTGTGTGTGTGTGTGTGTGTCGGGGCCATATCAATCTCATTGGCTTCATGGTTCATTGAGAGTGTGTGTGTGTGTTTGTGAGAGAGAATGGTGGTTGGTTTGTTGGTGAGTGTGAATGTGTGCATGAATATGTGTGTGCTGTGTGTATTTGTGCATGTTGTTGGTGTGTGTGTGTGTGTGTGTGTGTGTTGGGGTCTATCAGGTGTCAGTCCCGGTGTTGCCCCAGGCCAGGCAGGGTGACCGCTGGTCTTGGGACCCGGATGAGGAGCGAAAGCGTCAGGAAAGGTGGCAGCAAGAGCAGGAGCGCATGCTGCAGGTACACAGAATACCTCAAAGGGTGAAGCATGGCGCATGAGTCTGCAAGGTCAGGGGTTCAGTTCCCTCTGGAGCTTAGTGGGTGGAGCAAGGCACCAGCACCGTGAGGATTAGGCACAGAACGGATTTTTTTGGGTTGTAAATGTCTTATTGTGTTTTGACAACTGAGATAACAAACAACTCCTAGGGAAAGAAATCATTGGTTGAGGTGTGAAGCTAGTTAATTATGAGGCCTCACTCTCTCACTAAAGTTGTTCAAGCACACAGCTGACCGAGTTCAGCTATGAAGTTTGGCAATCAGCATGTACAGCTTTATTAGCACATTTACACAATGCAGCTATTTGGGATGACTTGTTGACAAATAAGCTCTGCATGAGACATAGCATAAGACAGGCATTGTGTCTCATCAGTAAGTATTAGAAGTAGATAAAAAGATGTGTGGACTTAAAACTGGGCTAAGTTTGTTTGTCTGTCTTTGTAGACATCTAGGTTACATCATAAGTTAGCCCAGTATACTTTACTGTTAACCATACTGTGAATCATGCAGTGGCACAGGAAGCTGCTCTGTGACGGATCAGATGGATTAACCACATTTCATTGCTCCTTGCAAAGCTTGCCTCCATGTTTGTTTTTATATTGAGCCTGTCCTCCCAAAGGCACCGCCCAACCACGCCAGATGCACACTTTGACCACTAGAGGGCGGTGTCGTGCAGCGGAAGAACCTCCAGTGTGGTTCTGTCTGCTCATTTCTCCATCTCATGCACATACACAGACAAAGGACTTTGTCCGAGGTTGCTGCTGTTGCTGCTGCCCAGATCACCCTCTCTCTCCTCAACCAATCAGAGGTGCATCTCAGGTCCACATATCTTAAACATGTAAAGGATTCATTGGCATCCATAATATACTGTACTCATCTCGAGTGTAATCTTGATAAATAAATCCCAGCAGTGATGAGTACAGATTTCCCGTCTGTCCAGTTGACTGTTTGAGATGAGATGCGCTGAAATGGATGAATGTCTGTCTGATGCATCAATGTGCTTGTTAACTTCCCGGTTCTGTTCTATTGTCTGTTTTCTCCGTGCATTGATCTGTCATCTGTCCTGCTTATGTTGCTTTGTCTCTAAATTTTGGATATTTCGATTTGGGGTTCCTAAACAAGTCTGAGAAGAGTAAAAAAAAAAACTAGTCTGATGATGTTTTAGCTCGTCTGGAACAACCTGAAGTGCTGGCGCTCATGTTGCCCAGCTGCTGGTACATACATAAATACATACATAAATGGAAAAGTTATGAGCAATTTTCAGGCAGCTTTTGAAATATAAATTGTGTAGGAACCTCTGCATGCTCTACTTTTGCCTTTTGTCCGCAGTGCCTGCTTCTGGTCTCTTTTGTTTTCTCTTTATTCCTAACAAGCAAATATAAGATCTGAGCTATTTTACAATAACAGAGGTGTAGCAAGCTGCCTTTGCATTCATTTATGTCTCTAAGTCCAGGCTTATATTTAAAGTGCATACTGAGGGAATCACACATGTACATTTTATACAAGTCTACATAAGTCTTGCCAATTATTGCAGCAGGATGTACAGGTCGCAGTCCCTTCTCAGATTAAATTAAGCAGAATGCAGTAGAAGAGAAATTTTTATCATCGACTGATTCAGACTGAAGCCTTTTTGAAAAGCCTCTCGATGGCAGATATGTCTGCGCATCGTCTCTGTTTTCCTGCCAACATATCCACCTGCAGACAGTTGAGGCTCTGTGCTGTATGTCATGTGTCTGTTGCCATGGTGACAGGAGAAGTACCGGCGCGAGCAGGAGAAGCTGAAGGAGGAGTGGGAGAAAGCGCAGAGGGAGGTGGCGGAGGAGGAGAGGAAGTACCACGAGGAGGTGCATGTTTAAAGCTACATGTGATGCGGGTTACAAGATAAGCCAGTTAAATGTAGTAAAGTGTACTTTCTGACTGATAAAACTGACCCAGCCCTCCCATCACAACAGGAGCGTAGGATACTGGAGGAGACTGTGGCGCCTCTGACTCCCCGCTCCTCAGCCCTGCCCTCCCCCAGCCGAGGAGAGGTGTCCTCCACCTCGGAGCCCCAGGACACCATCGTCCGTTCGCTGGCCGACTGGGAACGCAAGCAGGAGCTGCTGGAGAGGCATTCGGTGAATGGCTGATTGATTATAGATAGTTTGTTAGAAGCGTGCGTTACTTAAGTATCGATCCGGGAGAGGAATCTGGGTGACAATTGGATAGAATTACTTGAGTGGGCACGGTGTTCTGTTTTTGATTGGTTGCTCGGCTAACCGTTCCCCTGTTTGTGATTGGGCGGCACAGAGGGGGAGCTCAGAGAGTGTCGAATGGAAACGCAGAGAAAACGACCGGACCAGTGACATCAGCACCGCTGATGACAGCATGAAAACGGCCAGAAGGTTAGCGACCAACCTTAAAGTGATAAATGTTGCACTGAAGACATTTTCAGCTGAGATTCTGAGCAACGGTGGCTTAAGATGTGGTCCTTGTACAACAAGGTTATTTACAATCTTGTGAGAAACATATGTAGACGATTAGACAACTTAGAATTCGGTTGTCAAGTTTAGTTTAATCTTTACCTGCAGATACACAATGAAAGGTCAAATTTGCATTTGTTTTCATGTGATACGTGCCTTTTCACATTTATTTATTGAAACTGGAGCTGCATGTGTTTAATACAGTATATACTTTGCAAGTTATTGTGTTGATTTAATTGTTGTGTGTCTCAACTTTTGTCTCAGCCCTATTTGCGAGTCAGGGTATGGAACTGTATTATTGTATCATACTGTAGATTTCAGTGGGATCAGTCCTAAAAAACGTTAGAGGAAATATGAAAAGAGAACGTGTAGATACGATGAACAACACGGTTTGTTTCTGATCCTCAGCTCGGTGAGTCAGAGCAGCAGTCGGGCAGAAACTCTCGGTCACAGTCTGCAGAACGGCCAAAAACTCCCTGCCATGTCGACCAAAACCTCGACTCCAGTGAAGAAACAAGAAGAGCCTTCAGCAGACAGCAACAAGCCCAGCCGGCCTGCAGGAGACAGGAGGTGTGTGTGTGTGTGTGTGTGTGTGTGTGTGTGTGTGTGTGTGTGTG